CACACAACATTACACACAGACACATACACTGCACCCCTCAATGCAGTATATGTGTGTGTGTTCAGCAGTCTTTATGTATTCAGCAGTGTGTCTGTGTGTATTCAGCAGACTGCGTGCGTGTATTCAGCAGACTGCGTACTCAGGAGTGTGCGTGTATTTAGCGGACTGTGTGTGTATTTAACAGCATTTAGCAGTCTGTCTGTGTCTCGGTGTGTGTATGTATTAAGCAGTTGGTGTGTGAATGTGTTCAGCAGTCTGTGTGTATGTATTGCATTTGTTGGAGATACTAATATAAGCTTAATTTATATCATTATTTAAAAATTGTATAATTTAACTCTCTGTTGTGTTCTTCTTTTAAAACAAAAGTTGTTAACTGTACGAGTAGTTTTTTCTAAACGTAAACCTCAGTATTCAGGTTTAATTGCCATGTTGGCACTTTGAGGGAAAAAAAGTTGGCATGTATTGCGGTTTGGGCACTCGGGCTCAAAAAGGTTCGCCATCACTGTCCTAGCCTGACTGTTAATCTTAATGTGACTACTAAGTGACACATATCTGTGAAACAAAATACTACTTTTACTTGTCTCTATAAGTGTAAGTTATTATCCTGTTTATATAACTACTTTATATAAAAAAAAAAAAGTGCAATATTATTTCTGCCATGTGATTAAGCGTGTATTCTAACTTGAGCACACCAGCTATTGTGGCTGTGCAACTCCACCTGTTAACCTTATGCACGACCAAAAATAAAGAATTTAAAAAAAATATCCCAAGACAGAGAGCAGCACTATACAGGGAGCACTGACTGTCCCGGGATATTATACAGGCACAGGCCTGTATTATACAGAGAGCAGCACTATACAGGAAGCACTGACTATCCCGGGATATTATATACACACAGATCTGTATTATACAGATAGCTGAGCATATACCCCATGTCCCAATCTCTAGACTACTAGTACCGGTCAACAGCAGCTCCCAGACGCGTGTAACAGCTCACACAGATGATTCAGCGGTAAAGTGCACTCGCTGGCAGAGCTAAACTGGGAATCCCTGGGAATCCAAAGCAGCCCTGGAAAAAAAATGTATGCCATTCCTACAAGTCAAAAAATAAATAACATTTTTATATATATATATATATATATATATATATTTTTTTTTTTTATAGTACAGTAAGCACACAAGCTCACTGACATGCGCAAATAGGCTTACTGACAGACAAAACTCTCTGACTCATACACAAGCTTACTACAGACACTCACTTGTATAAACAGAAGGCTCACTACAAAAAAGTTCCGGGACACACACAAGCTCACTAAAAACAAGCTCACTGATACACACATGCTCACTAAATAGAAGCTCACTGACACACACAAGCAGTACCATTTTAACAGAGTTAAGGGCCCCTGGGCAAAGCAATGCACTGGGGCCCTTCCTACACAACAACTCACAGGAATTTTAATTATTGATAGACTGCGGAGTCCATACACACACACAGACTGCTGAGTCCACACACAGACTGCTGAGTCCATGCGCGCACACACAGACTGCCGAGTCCATGCGCGCACCCACAGACTGCTGAGTCCATGCGCGCACACCCACAGACTGCCGAGTCCATGCACACACACACACAGACTGCTGAGTCCATGCGCGCACACACAGACTGCTGAGTCCATACACACACACAGACTGCTGAGTCCACACACAGACTGCTGAGTCCATGCGCACACACACAGACTGCCGAGTCCATGCACACACACACACAGACTGCCGAGTCCATGCACACACACACACAGACTGCCGAGTCCATGCACACACACAGACTGCTGAGTCCATATACACACACACACAGACTGCTGAGTCCATACAGTGTGTGTGTGTGTGTGTATGGGGATAGTGTATGTGTGTAGAGTGTGTGTATGGGGGGGCAGTATGGGGGGCAGTGTGTGTGTGTATGGGGGGCTGTGTGTGTGTGTATGGGGGGCAGTATGGGGAGCAGTGTGTCTATGGGGAGCAGTATGGGGGGGCAATGTGTGTCTATGGGGAGCAGTATGAGGGGCAATGTGTGTGTATGGGGGGAGTGTATGGGGGGCAGTGTGTGTGTGTGTGTGTATGGGGGGTAGTGTGTGTGTAGAGTTTGTGAACACCCCCCCCCCCCAAGCCTACCTGTCACTGGAGGATGTTGCTGGGGGTCAGGCAGCCATCTTCTGCAGCAGCATGGTCTGCTGCTTTACGGCGGGGGCGGGGCTTATTTGCTGGAGGCGGGGCTTCGTTTAAGTCAAAGCATCTCAAGCCATGCAAAACAATTGCAGGTATAAAGTACCATCATCTTAAAGTGACAGAGGGACATCAAAATACAAAAAATCCAAACAAATCTAAACCAAATTAGACAATCCATACCCTACACAGACAATAGAAAAATAACTGTCAGAAACAATACAACATGTATAATGATTAAGTAGACATGAATCTTCCATCATGTATTTCCAATAAAGGGACGAAATTCAGGTGTATATTTCTGAGATGAGTCCAATCATCGGAGGGCCTCCCAGCAGTGAACAACCCAAAAAGGGAGACTAAACTGAAAAAATAAAAAATAAAAAAAATGTCAAGAATTTACAGGCAAAGGAAAAAAAAGGAACCACAAAAAGCGGACCCAATAAGACAAAAAAGAAAAATGATGCACATAGTCCGGAAATGTAAGCAACTTAACCAATTGTATATGACCATATTACCTGAAGGGATTAAAATCACAGTCTTCATTCAACCCATGTGGGAAAAATGTATCCAATCGATAAATGCACCGTAGTTCCGCGCGTTTGAGCGAATCTGCAAGGGAACAACCAAAATGAGGAGTCTTGATATGTTCTATAGCCTGAAAACGTAGTTGTGCCACCGAATGGCCAGAGTCAATGAAATGTTTGGCAAAGGAGATATGCCGTTTCTTAGTGCGAATGGTACCTTTATGTTCCCCAATATGTACAGTTAAAGATCTGGACGTTTGGCCGATGTATTCCAGACCCCAAGGACATTTGATGAAATAAATGACCTGGTCTGTTTGGCAATTAAAAAATTCCTTGATAGCAAATGCTTTTCTTGTACTGGGATGTGTAAATTTGAAGCTTGGTACATATAGATCCAAATCCGCTTTAAAAGATAGATTAGCCTCTGAACCATTCCAAAGAAAGAACACATCATCAATGTAACGAAACCAAACCGCCATAGAGTGGAATAAGGGATGTGGGTAGATGAATTCTTCCTCAAACTTAGCCATGTACAAGTTGGCATAAGAAGGAGCCATACTTGCCCCCATCGCCGTCCCCTGTATCTGTAGAAAAATGTCATTCCCAAAGGTAAAGTAATTGCATGATAGCACCAATTCCAGCAGCTGTAAAACAAAATCATTCCAATTAGAATCCAGCTCAAGTCTGCCCAAAGCCTGTGCAGTAGCTTCAATCCCTCCCCTGTGGGGGATGGACGTGTACAAACTGCACACGTCCATCGTACACAGGAGAGAACCTCTGCAGGACCCAAGTTGTCCAATTTTCCCAAGAAATCACTGGTATCCCATATATATGACTTCATCTGTACCACCAGCATTTGAAGATAAGCATCAATGTATTGGGCCAGCGGCTGAAGCAAAGAACCACAACCCGACACAATGGGCCTGCCAGGGGGATTCAAAAGATCCTTATGGATTTTGGGAAGCCGGTACAGAAAGGGTATACAAAGTGTGGATGTTTTTTTGCAGTGGAACGCACATGCGTTCCTCTTTGCGCTCCCTACTTCCTGGTTTGTGGTTTCACGAGGTGCCGACTGATTGCGCATGCGAACAGACATATTTTTATATTGGAACGCATGTTCGTTCCACCAGATTTAGTTTTCTTCCGGGTTCGGCGTTTTTGAAGCGCTTGATGCTGCTCATGCCTCAGGTTTATGTTTTCATTCTTTTTTGCATCAGTTTAAGCTTGTAGATCAAATCTCTGCACTAGGCATTTTGTGACATTCACTTTTGATTGTTTCTTCATGGTTTTTATTTTATTTTTTCATCCTTTTCAAACTGCCATACCATTTGGGACAGTTGATCTTTATATTAATACTGATGTAATATTTATATTCTTGTTTATCTCATATGTTTCTATTAATATGTCCACTACATGTATACTTAATATCTTGCCTGCATGTTTTATGTTGATTTTGTATTTTTATGTCTAGTATTTTTCTTTATGTATTTTACTTGTGAACCTGCATTTTGATTTACACATAGGTCAGGGCTTTCTGGTTCCCTTGACAACTATGAACAGGTGTATCATGGTTGGGAGGATCCCAGTCATCATGGGTGGCCACCCATTTCTTTCAGGTGTTTCCTATGTTTGTTTTTTACTTTGGGTATATAAGAACAGGATTTAGTTTCTCTCAACATGCTCCCTTGATAAAGGCATTTTTGCCGAAACGGTGGGGGTGTTTTTGTGACTGACTCTGTCCCTGCTTCTCACTAGGTCCGGTATGCTTATTGTTTATATATATATTTTTGTATATTTATGTCTGTTTGTGGGGTTGGATTAGACCGTTATTTTTTTTCTCTATTTTTTGTATATTGAGACTCTGTTATTCATATAAGACGCTTTTGGCGTACATACATATATATTCAGAATTTTTCTGATCATTGCTGTTTAGCGTGATATGATCCTATATTTTGGATCTTTATGTGATATTTTTTTAGAGTATACCCACTTAATAAATGTTTTATTACTATTGATGGTTGTGCTCCTTACTCCATTGTTATTTATATGTATTTGGGCTTTTGAGGATAAAGCCTTATGTGAGTGAGCACCCCACATTGTATTTTCATAGAGCTCCACTTGGGAGCTTGCATATATTTCATATTGAGTGTGCCTACCTTATTTAATTTTTAATCTTCTACCTGGTCTGACAGGAAATTCACACTGAAAGCAACAAGCAACTTCCTGTCAGACAGGGTAGAGGATACAGAAGATCCTCTACCGCAGTCCGCTCGGTAACACTACAAGACAGAGGTTAGCAGGCACAGGAGGATAGAGGAGGAGACACACACAAGGGAGTTTGAAGGGGAGATAGATACACAGACAGGCTTGGTGGGAAAACAGACACAAAAGGACTTGGGCGGGAAAAAAGAGACACACAAAGGGTTTGGGAGAGAGACACACAAATGGACTAGGGGAGAATAAAACACAGCGAGGAGCTGGGTAGAAAGAGTCACACATAGGGGCTGTGTGGGAGAAAGACATACAGAGGGACTGTGGGGGGAAAGAGATATACAAAAGAGCCTGTGGGGGAGAAAGACGCACAGAAGGGGTTATGGGAGAAAGAGACACAGAAGGGACTGTGGTTAAGTAAGATATGCACTGAGGGGCATGAGAGGAGAAAGAAACACAGAGGGGATGGAAGGAAGAAATACACACACAAAAAGAGGAACAAGAGACACTCAGAATCGGTTGGGGAAGGGGAATAAGACACACAGTGTGGCTAGGAAGGGGGGAATGAGACACACAGAGTGGCTGAGGGGAAAGAGATAAACATAAATGCTGGGGAGGAAGAAAATACACACAGATGGACTGGGAAAGGGAAAATATGGGGGATAAGACACACACAACAGGGTAAGACAATCAAAAGAGAGGATAAGAAACAAAAAGGGGGCAATAAATTTAAAGGGGTGGTAAGAGAAGAACATGTAAAGATTCATCACTTTGGGGGAGGGCAGATGCATCTTTGTCTGTGTCTCCTGCTCTGCCTTTGACTCAGTTCTTCAGCACAGGAGTCTATGCTGAAGAGTTGATTGACAGATGAGAGAAAGACCTCTTATTAAATAGGTTTTTCTTCCAATATATATACATTTTTCTAGCAATCCTGCTAACACAATGTACACTGACAGACTCACACATTTTCAGATACACACTCAATGACACACTCCGGCATATACATATGTAAATAATGCTACACACACTCAGCCGCCCCCCCCCCATACAGCCTCCTCCAAATACACACCACACACCATGCTGCCATATTCTCTCAGACACGCACCATTCACAGCAAAAAGCCCAGGTCTCTAGAAGAGCAATCTGACACCCTGTCTAGGGCCCTGGGCAACTTTAATCTGGCTCTGGGTGACTTCAAGAAAGAGATCGAGAGGAGAGGAATAAAGAGACAAAGCTGTATCAAAGATTTTAAAATAAATACATCTAACACTTCAAGAAATTAAATCTGGATAATTTAATAGATTTTTATAATTTTTCCTCACTCAAAAAAAAAATGTAACTTCGCATCTCTGTTAATTAGCATAATATAATCCTTTTGACAGTTCATTTGGAGAGAGGGGGTATGTTCCACAGTTTCCTTAGAGACATTCCATATCACCTCCAGAGAAAAGATTTAGCACAGAACTGTTGAACATGAGAACCAGGGGTTTGAGAAATTGCTAGCGTAAAAATAGCTTTCTATTAGCTTTGGAATGTATGGCAAGCCTTGATAAAGATTCCAAGCACAGCAGGGAATATTGAGATTGTAAGCTCTTATCCAAAAATATTAAATCAATTATTTTTTTTCAAAATATTAAACTATCAAATATATCATTCATAAAAAATTATATCTCAAAAGATATCCAAATGTTAAATTATATTTTGTAAGATTATATAATTTGAAAGACTTAGCTAACAATGGATCGAAGTATTTTTAGATAACGTTCTTACTGATTTTGGAGACCAGAGGTAAGTTTAATACTGGCAAGTAAATAGCAGTTCTTTCTTTGATATCCAAGCTATTTGATACCGCTATTGAATTAGATGTGATAATTCGTATCTCTCATGACAGTCTATTTACAAGTTTATATAATAAATTATCTCCAGCAAATGTACACAGTCCTGAAAAGGAAAGATGCACCACCCTAATTACCAGATAGTGTCCTTACAAAGATGATAAATGGTATACCAGGTATAAGACAGTCCTTAATACCACATTTCTATAGCTCACTAGTTTATATGTTTTCAGTAGTAGTATATAATTGTTAACTCTTGTTTGTTTTACATCATTTCTCTTGCGCAATTGCCTGCGACCAAAGGGTCAACTCAATAAATGGTGCAACAAGTTAGCACCCGACTACCTGTAATAGACCCAGCAGCACCCTTTATCTCCATCTTAGCACCAGCTGATAGGCGCTGTCACCCTAGCTGTTCCTACCTGGCATCCTACATTTACTACTGGTGACATCAGCATACAAAGACTCCAGGGTAGGGACTATACCACCTACTCGTGATACACAGATCTGTGTACCTGCTCAAAATATTGTACGTTTTCACATTTTTCATTTTATACTTACTGAAAGCAAAGAACAATATTGTTTTTTCCTTTATTTTATGTGTGGCACCTGATTACTATCCTGTCATGAAAAAGCATCAGATTGATATGCTTAAAGTGGGGACTTATACCAATAGCTACTGTGTTATTTTTATTTTTTTATATAAATTCTTTATTTTTGTTTTGTGCAAACATGCTTGCTTTGCCACAACAGCAGGAGCAAGAATATATGCAAACAGTTCAAATAACTCAACATTATGGCATATGATACTGCTGCATAATTTTTTTTATACAGGACACAGATAATATAGTATATGTCAGCAAATGAGGCATGTAAGAATAGCAATATTGTGAGTCAAGATTATGATAAGTATAACATAACAGGAATATATATGCTGTGCCCATTTTTTGTTTTGAAATGATGCAAGAAAAACAAATAATTAGAATAACCTAGATAACTAGTATAGAAAGTTGAGAAAGGTGAGTTGCCTGTCTGTAGTGTTAAAGGACCACTATAGGCACCCAGACCACTTCAGCTTAATGAGGTGGTCTGGGTGCCTGGTCCAGCTAGGATTAACCCTTTTTTCTATAAAGAAGAGGTTTATAAATGGGTTAATCCAGCCTCTAGTGGCTGTCTTATTGACAGCCACTAGAGGGCTTCCGCGCTTCTCACTGTGATTTTCACAGTGAGAAGACGCCAGCGTCCATAAGAAAGCATTGTGAATGCTTTCCTATGAACTGGCTGAATGCGTGCGTGGCTCCTGCCGTGCATGCGCATTCAGCCGAAGAGGAGGCGGAGAGCTCCCCGCCCGGCGCTGGAGAAAGAGGTAAGTTTAACCCCTTCCTCACCCTAGAGCCTGGCGGGAGGGGGACCCTGAGAGTGGGGGCACCCTCAGGGCACTATAGTGCCAGGAAAACAAGGGTTTTCCTGGCACTATAGTGGTCCTTTAATGGTTTCTAGAGCTGGTAGCGGGTCAGTGCATGCTGGGTAAAGTGCTCTGTGTCCCCGAGCTCGGGGTGGGGGTCAATGTCACTGTGACCTGTCCCTTTTTTGGTTGTCTCATCTAGTGTCAGCCTTGTGGAATAGGAAGGGCAGGACATGCGGTATATTTTGGGGTTATATTGGACGGCGCCGGGCACAGTGTTCTATAGCCTACATGTGGAGGGGTGAAGTTCCCCTTCTAAGAAGGGATGGCGCCTCTCTCTATCTTACGTCCCTCGTGGTGTGTGTGCGGTCAGTTAGGTGAGACAGGACATTGGCTATGTGTGTCGTCCGTGGGTGGGTCTAACTGGACCCCAGTGTGAAAGTAGGTTAAACTTAAGTAGGCAAGAGCCAAAGAAACACAAAGTCAAAGAGAAACAAAATCATATAAAAATAAATTCTGGGTCTCAGGTACCCGTTGAGTGCTGGTTAGCCCTTTGTGCTTTGAATGCGGTAGAGGGTGGGGTGGTGGGTCCGGCTGGCAGGAACGGTTTTACTTTGGACATGTCCCAGGTGTGTGTGGCTTTTGTCTCGGTGCGTGGGTGGTCATATCCGAATTTGGTGATAGTCCATTTCCGATGCGTCGGTTATGCGGGATGTTGCACCAACATGCATGATGACCAGGCTCCTGGGGAATGCCCAGCAGTATGGGATAGAATGTTGACGGAGTGTGTTGGTCAGCGGTCTGAACAGGCTTATCCATACCAAGGCAGGCCTGGACAGGTCTTGATAAAAAGACAGAGCGGTATTTTTGAAGGGGTGAGTAGAATTTTCTCGCACTGCTGCCATGAAGTTTAATTGGGCTGACCTTGTCTGGAGCTGTAGTATGACATCCCATGGGGAGTCTGCTGGGGCTCTGGTATCTCTCGGGATGCGATAGACCCAGTCGATCATGGCTTGTTTCGCCTGCTGTAGTGTAAGTAGTAAGGTGAGGAGTCTCCTGGTGTATTGTGTCCGTTCTTCTGGGGTCACCGTCTCCGGGATTCCCCGTATTTTGACATTCCGGCTCCTGTGCCTATCCTCCATTGTGTCCAAGCGGTTGGTAATCGGGTTCTGGGTTTGATGTAACTCAGCATTTTGTGCTTCTATCTGTATACATCGTGTAGTGAGGTCCTGCACGTCCTCCTCTAGTGTCTTGACTCTCCGCCCACTTCATCCAACCCCCAATCACACTTTTCCCCCCAATGCAGCGGGAGAACTGAAGTGTCGCGATTCAAAACATACTTACACAGCCATATACACATACTGACATATACACACAGACAGACATACTGACACACAAATATATACTGGCAGACATATTGACACACACACACACATACTGATCCATACACTGACAGATATAGTGACACACACAGACATGTACTAACAGAAATACTGAAACACAGACACACACACACAGGCATACGGACATACACACTACATTTAGCCACTCTCCAGGTTCTTACCTTTTCCTGGAGGGTGGTTTCCCTGGGGTCCAGTGGCAGGCTGAGGCAGTTGGGAGTTATCCTCTAGAAGTCCCCTCCTCCCGCGTGGCTCTGATCTCCGGTGGGAGGAAGTGACGCGCGTCACTCACTTCCTCCCAGCCAGCTGCTGAACAGGAAGGGGCCCGGTCGCGTCACAGTGCCGGACCCGGACCCTGCTGACACATGCTCACCCGGGGGCCCTCTTCAGCGTGCGGGCTGGTGCGGCTCTGTGCAGCCGCACCGCCGGGTCCATGGGGGCTGCGCAAATCACGGGGCAGCTGCTCTGGGGCCCCCAGGAGCAACTGGGCTTAGGGCAACTGCCCCGTTTGCCCCGCGTTAAAGACGGCCCTGGTAGAAGTTAGTATAATTTGGATATTGAGATTGCTTATTTTAAACTAAATATGAGTTGTCAATCATGTACTGATGTTTGTATGCACCCTACTTAATTGGCATATTGCATTATTAGTTTTCTCTCTGTTTTTTTTTTTCCCTATGTTATCAAGAAATGAAGATGAAGGACACTATATTTGGGACTAAATGAAAAAAATCTCAGGCACTCACTGTGATATGTTCAAGGCAGTTTTTTTTATTGGATCTGCAGATCCAATAAAAACTGCCTTGAACATATCACAGTGAGTGCCTGAGATTTTTTTCATTTATGTAGATTGTATTAATACTATATTTGAGACTGGCTTATACCTGGTATAGCATTAATCATCTTTGTAAGGACACTACCTGGTTTTATTTATCTTAGTGTTTTTTGTGGTTTTATTTCCTATACTCCATTTGTATTTTTATACTTTGTCTTGGCGTATGCTGTATTGTGTTTTTGTTATTCCAATTGTATACTTGTGTTACTCTTTATGTTCTTTCTTTTGAAGCTTTCCCATGTACGTGATGCAAACTGGCAGTATGGGGCTTTGATATCCATTGGGAATTAATTTGGTGCACACAGGCTCCAAGCACAGTTAACTTTTTCTGTCAATTGTTTCTCAATATTTTGTGTCAAATATATAGAAAAATAAATTTTACAAAAATTGTACCTAGGACATAATTAAGAGTTCTAGAAGAATTGCCTGTTAAAAAGGACAAACAGTACCTCAGCCACTACTGTATTGTAGTGGCTATAGTATAAGGAGCTCTGGGCGCATCCTTTGTTTGCAAAAAAGTGGTATTGATTTGGCACCCAAAGTCCTGCCACTCTGCACCTGAGATATTTCATAGATTTCTCTTGTGTCTTACCTTACAAATGCAGACAGATTTAGATGACAGTAATAGGCTGTGAGCCTATTGAGTGAGTGGGGTGGTTTTGCTTCATTGTCGTTCGAAATTGCTCTACAGTTCTGAAACTAGTGTACTTACTAAGGAGCTGTAAAACAGTACGAATTCTATATATAAAAAGGTATAAGCTTGAGTTTATATTTCTATAGTAACATGACAATGAATAATAACTAAAAACTTTACAGGCTATAAAGAGCCATCATAGCAGCCAAGCATGAAAGTAACACTTTAAAATTAAAGTTCCCATTACAATACACATATGCACCTGTTATGTAATAATAAAAAAAAAAGTGGAGTTTAAATAAGAATTTCACTGTGTGTCACGAAGGTAAAATGTGTGCAGTATCTGCGTGTAAACATCTCTTCACAGAAGAATCATTTACTTTGATGGCATATTGAAGAACAATGATCAAGCCTTAGTTTTTTTTCTTCCCACATTGTTTTTGCCGATATGCACATTTAATTTTGCAATTAAAATTGACAAAAACCCGCCCCCAGTTTTTAGATGTCGTTGTATTTTGAGGTACATGTTCTATAGGAAGAATGGAGTTCTTCCCTCCATAAACTCCAAAGTTGCCTCCTAATCGACACTAATAATGCAGAGATACTCGGTACTTCTTTCATTCACCATTTTTAGTAAATGCTTGTTTAATGACTATAACATTAATGATAACTCCAATATAAATAAAACCGATCAATCTCAACCAAATAAATACCCTTCGGACACACTGAGGGACAGAGACGTAACATGAGAGCATGTTTATGGATATAAGATGTCCTCTTTTTAATGTGCTTGCCATGTAATGCCTTCCATGTTCTGAAAATGTTTTTGATAATAAGCACAATATTTCTTTGGATCAATGCCAAGGCTCATGTTCCACAACTTGAACACTGGCCTCCGTGTACATGCAGCAAAGCAGCCCTTCGAGGTTGGTAAGATACAGTACTTCCTGATATGTGTACCTGACACCTATCAAAAGAAAATAGATTGTCATTTGTCATATACAAAGAATAAACAAACCATTTTATTATTTATAAGTAACTGTAACATAAACCTAAATCATTCTTTACACAGGATTTATATTAAAGGATAGCCGCTTATATTTTGGGAAAGCAAATTATATGAATAATGGCACAACTGTGACAATAAAATGTGTCAACACAGACCAATTAAGCATATTTGTGTTAAAGAAAAAGTTCCCTATATATGCACAAAATATATGGAATATCTGTTAACAACGGTTATCATGTACAACTCAGCATGCAGACACAGGTATACAGAATGGAGCATCAACTGAGGAAGCCTCCTGGAGAGGCGAAACACGTTTTGCAAGGACTTACAGATATCACAATAAGAACTTACCTTTGAACTGTAAGGTTTTGATTTCAATTTTATAATTTTATTATTTTTGTGCCCTTTATTGAGAATAAAGCACTTTATACTTATACCAACATTTGAGAAGACAATCCATTACCAGAAACCACCTATACACATAAAGAAGGAAGTGGGAACCTTTATATCCCACAAAGCTAGAAGTCTGAGCCGTATCCTTTGGCTCCATATCTGTGCGTGCTATTCCATCCACCATTTGTACTATACCTTATATTACAGACAATATTGCACTACTGTTTGTTTTTCTGCATTTTATTTTAGGATGATATACATCTAAGAACTCTCTACAGATTAAGAAAGACACTCTGCCTCTATTCTATTTCTTGTGAGATTTAAGGGAAACTCACTAAGGTGTTAGAGTATCTTATATTGTTTTATCACTCACTGGGATCCTGTACCTACATTGTATTGTACAGGTATACAGAATAGTAAGTCATGCTGAGTAAAGAATACACAATAAAATAATAGGATCAGAAAACGAGCCACAAATCTGGATAACAGACAGTAACCAAGCCAAGGTCAGGATATTGGAATGTGAAATAGTCAAGCAAAGAAAAATTAACAAAGGCCACAGCTGAACGGACGTGGAATAGGCTCTTTAAAAGAGTGGTCCATCCTAAATATATCAGCATCTCACGAGCTGGGGCAGAGGAGTGAGACTTTGCCATCAGTGAATTAGCACACCGGGTAAGTGGTGCTTACAGTACCAGCCACAAAAAGACTACCGACTGTGTAGACACTATCAGGCTCATATGGAGACTCCAAGTGGAAATGCTGGACAAATGGGTGGGTATAAACATCGTAACATTTATAGGACCAACCTAGGATAACTCCTCATATCCATTTCCTTCCCAATGTACAAGATGTTGGAGACTACTCGTGGACAAACGTGATGGATTGGACTCCATACCCCTCCACTACAAACATGGCACAGGTAGAAAATACAACATGTAGAAACGGACCAGAGAGTGGTTGAAATCACAGTGGCTGAGTACACCTTTAAATTGTCAAAAAACTAAGCTTTTTACAGAAAAAAAAATTCTTAATATTTAAAAACTAGTCAATAATCAGAGATTAAAAGTCAAACCAAACTAGGGTCAAGATAACAGAATGTAGACTAGTTAAAGAAAAGCACCCCCAAAAAACCCACTCCAGACCCTTAATGCACTTCAGCTTGCTGAGGGGTTTTATGTGTGAAGAGCATGTCCTTTTTTTTTTGTCCTATTATTTATAATTCTCCTTCAATCCCCGAGGGAACAAGATAGAGGATGTAGGGGTCAATTAATAAAAAAAAAACAGAAAAAAAAAAAACCCTACAACACTCCATTGCAGCACAGAGGCAAAGTTTTTCCTGCAGTCAATCCACCTCCACTGATGTCACTTCTCTTAGCTGGATTAATTTGAGGTCACATATACATAGATAAACTCTCATTAATTAGAAAACAAATGCCAAAAAAGGGGGAGGAGGGGGAAAAAAAACCTTTTTATTTCACAGTTTTATATTTCCAGCTTTGAAAAAGTAATTCAAAATAAATTAATTTATGTGTCTTGATTTATAGAGTACATAATATGTATGGGATTTCAGCTTATTTTGAAAGTTACAGGTCACAAAATAAAAGGACTTCAATAAAATTTCTATGTGAAACTATTTTAGAAGTTGGTATGTTTGTCTTGTAGGTTTAGTAGCCATCACAGAAA